GGTTGTTTTTATTTGGGCATTTATGATTTTTAGTTCTTTATTTATTTTAGACACTAATCCTCTGTTAAATGAGTAGCTGGCAAATATTTCTCTCTCATCTTGTAAGCTTTCTCATACAGTTCTGAGTTTTAAACTTTTCTGTTCAGAAGCTTTTTGATTTGATACAATTATACTTTTTATGTCACAGGATTATTTCCAGAGCTGTCAGAGTCATTTCCAGAAAGCTCTTTTCTATTCCTGTGTCTTTCCTATGCTCCCTTTTAGTGATTTCTGAGTCTTAGATCGTGCATTTAAGTCATTGGTTGGTTTTGAATTGATTTTTGTTTAGGGTGAATGCTAAGGCTCCGTGTTTATTTCCCATGTGTGCAAATCTGGCCTTCTGAGCATCATTTCTTGAGTGACTATTTTTCTCTAATATGTTTCTGGCATATTTGTTCAAATAGTGCATGGTTATGGCTATTTACATTTATTTCTCGATTCTCTATTATATTCAGTTTTTAATAATAATTATATAGTCATTTATGGTAAACTAGGAACATTTGTTTTAAAAATGAGCTTCAGGGAAATAGAATGGGGAAAACAAATCTTTCTAAAGAAATTATAGATAGAACTATTGGTGCCACTTTTATATTTCAACTGTTAGTCACAGTTTTTATGCTTGTCAGTTATTTTACCCAAAGCACTGGTGTGTTCTTGGGCAGCAGGTGTCACTGTTCACGGTTGGGACCTAGCTTAAGAAGTGTATGAGAGAATGAGTGGCCCTATGGTCTCTGTTAGGGGCTGCCCATGCTCCCACTCTGTTACACACAAATGATTTATTTCCTAAAGATAACGGCTGCAGAGCTGCAAGAAAAACTGAAGACTGCCTTAAGTTATTAAATTTGAGACTGAAATTAGTCATGTAAAGAAACACCCAGGTGAGAAATGGCAATTTAAGCAATACTCCAGTCTTTAACCATGAAGACTTATGTTTTTCAAAACTCTATACCATCTTGGCCCCCAGGTTGTAAATGTTGGGGTGTGTGGACCAGCTATGTTCTTGAGTAGTGTATTCTCTGATTTGTGTCAACCAGGAAAGAGTGGAGCTTCGTTGCTTAAGGAACTGAGATTGCCTTTCAGGATTTTACAGTTCCTTTCCTGTTGTAGCAGTGTATTCAACCTTGCTTAGTTTTCAACCCTGGCTGCCAGAGTCACTGCCCCCAAATTATAGCACAGTACTCTTAAACTCACTTTACAGTAAGGGAAAGCTGAAAGCCAGAAAGATTAAATGGCTTGGCTAAGGTTAAAAAATAGGTCATCCCAAATGTGACATAGAAACCAATTCTTTTGATCATATCTCACAGGCTTCATTCCGTGTGACTGCACCAGCTCCACGAATCTGATTTAATCCTGCCTTTCTTCTTCATATTCTCTAGCAGGATTGTGCCATCAATCAGTTTTCAGTGACAAGAATACCATTTATTCTTACATGGAGTACTGTCTTCACTTCAATACATCTCAGATGCTGGTTTTTTGACACTGGCTTCTTTTTTTCATAGTGCATTCTCAATTTTATATAAATCTTCTATCCTTAAAGTCTTTCTGTTCTAATTTTCATATATCTAGTTAAATAATTGTCTTGTGGCTCATTTTTGTCTGTAGTTATTTTTATCATGGTTTTTATTTCTCTTTTAAACTATATTTCAGAAGAAGAACAAGAAGGAGAAAACTCAGAAGAAGAGAAAGTTAAGCAGTTAAGAGCACTTATTTTTGAAGAGGACTTGGGTTCAATTCCCACCACCACCCATGTGATAGTTCACAATCATCCATAACCCCAGTTCCAAGGACCCTGATGTTTTCCTCTGACCCTTTGTGGCTTTCCTTTTCTATTGGCACTAGATTCTAACTTCAGGAGACTGCATTGAATAGTCCCATTTGTCCCAGTCCATTTTGAGTAACACCAAACTGACTCTGCTTGTCTTTCATTTTGTACCTTTAGTTTTGGTGTGTGTATACTAGTGGACTTGCATGTAGCAAGCACAGCTCATGTATGGAGGTTGGCAGGATTGAACTCAGGTTGTCAGGTTAGGCATCAGGAACCTGTATGCACCAAGCCACCTTCCCAGACTCAAAATGCCTTTTAAAAACAGTGTATTGCTTTGCATTGTCCTGAAATGCCTAAGATTGAGAGCAGCAAGGGATTAACAGAGAGATCTGCAAGATGACTCTGTTGGTAACGGTGCCTGATGCTTGCAATGTATATGACAGAAACCATCTGTGATGACAAGCAAAAATGAGAAGGATCTTCCCATAGGAGTTAATACCCCTGGCCTGGAATGTCCCTGTAGACGAGAAGAATATAAATCATTCAGGAAGAAACAATGGGAAATGAAATAACTCTACATCACTTTTAGGACCTTTCCCAACATAAACATCAGGCATAAATATATTGTTTCTCCTGGCCCTGCCCCCCTGCTCATCACTGCAAGGAATGAACTAATCAGCACAATGCCGGAGAGCCCATCCATGTAAAGCTGACCAATTCTTCAACTACCCAGGTCCAGATCCAGTATTATCTGTCTGTTCACTACAACATCCATCCCATCTGTGATTTGCTGCAGCATGGAGTGGGGGTGGGAGTAGATGATGGGGGGGTGAGGGATGGGGTGGGGTGGGGGATACCAGTGGGGAAGGTGGGCATCAGAGTGTCTTTGATTCAGGGCTGCAGGACCTCCAAGTTACTGGGCAGTACCAGGGTGTCCAGGAAGAGTCCCAGTGAGGGTTTGTCATTGATGGTATAGCAGAAACAAGGGGACTTCAACCAGACTAGTGATTCTTTGTGATGAATGCCTGCATGTAAAAATGTGTGAATGAAGGGGCTTATTGTGTGACTCACTGTGTCTCACTGAAGCTTCAATGGCAAGATTTTCCTCCCCTCTTTTATAAAAATATTTTGTTTTATGGAGGGGGGAGATAGGTGGGATTGGGAGGCATGAGGTAAAAGACACAAAGAATACATTTTTAAAAAGTTAAAAAGAAAGGAATATTCATTCCTTACAGCCAGCTTATTTACACTGCTGAGTCTTTCCCAGAGCCCAATAATGTATCTTGAAGGGCATACAGTGGAGGACTGCATCTATATTAGTAGCACTGATGTATATATTCTGGGCGTGCAAACCCAAAATCAACTGTGGATAAAAGAAATGAGAGGTGGGCATTGAACACTGAACTTCTCTCTGTGGAGTAGGCATGCTGCAGGGTTATGGGGAACAGGTATTAGGAATCCTGTATCTTCCTAGCATGCCAGAGTTCAGGATAGCAGCATTTGAAGGAAACCAGTCACAGGGTAATAATGTCACACTGAGAGAAGCCCATAGATACTGGGAACTGAACTGTAACTGAGAATAGTATCCTGTTGTGTTCTATATTTGAATAATATATCCTGGAAACAAGTTATTCCAAAATGATAGGTCTGGACAATACAAAGTGGCAAGACCTCTTTTTGCCCAGTGAGAAATGACCAGGAAATAATCAACAAAGAGATTCTGGAAAAGCTAATGTAAAGCACGGGAAAAAGAAATATTGTCTTGAAGATGCAAAAGAAGAGTGAATCTCAGTAATAGGGCTAAATCAGAATAGAAAGCAACCTTGATGCAAACTGCCATGCAGAATGAAAAGGGATGATTTTATGAAATTCGAAACATGTTGAGAAAACAACGGGAATAAATTATAATGTGGATTGATGAGACAAGAAACTCTAAGGAACTTAAAATTCAATGGCAGTAGAATAATAAAAGCTAGAGGTGTCATTGTGAAAATTAAATTAAAATACAGTACATTTTTCATTTACTTGGAGGATGAACTTGAGAGGATCTCCCAAGGGGATACAGTAAAACAAATTAATGAAGGAGAAGATAAATTGAATAAGGAAAATATACTGTTGGTGATTTTCTTTACTACCAAAGTAATCCATAATATAAATGTGTGTGCATACTTAAATAACTACAGACTACCCTTATCAACAGACAACTAAATAAGTATGTAGAAGAAATTTTGTTCCTCCATTAGAAACAATAAAAAGATAACTATGCTCCAAGGTCTTGGGAATGTTTTAAGGTGCCAGATAACCCTACGCTCAAGTTATTTCAAAAGGCATAATGCCAGTGTAACCTCTGACTTCTCCCTTGTGGTTCTGCTGAAAGATAATGAAGTAACTTGTATAATATTTAAGAGCAGGATCATCAAGCAGTCACTAATAACAACCACTGATCAGCACCTTGCAAGCATTGCTTGAGCTTATGTTTATTGTCAAAAGTGGACAACTTCCCCACTGAAGCACACAGCTCAGGTGCCATCGCTATGTGGATGTACAGGTATGCCCAGAATGCATAGAGTAGATAGAGTGAGCTCAGTAGTGTTTGTGTTTGCCTCCTTCCACCATCCTCCATCTCAGCAAATCCTCTGGTTCCACCATCAAAATGTTTCTAGCAAGCACCCTCCACTTGCTACCCCCACGACTATCACTCTGGGCTGGACTTTCATATCTTTGGCTGCTTATGGAGAGGGTCTTTGGCTAACCTGAATATAATGTTCCTCTCAGTTTGACTAAATTAGACAGGATTCTTTTGTCTTTTCCAGCTTGACGTATTTTCTTAGAGCATTTACAGTTATAGTTTGCAGGAGAAATGTCTTCCTTAAATGCATGTATTTAAACACTTGGTCCCTGGTTAGTGGTGGTGTTTGAAAAGGCTATAGGACCTTTAGGGGGCAGAGCCTTGCTGGAGGGATTGTCACGAGGGGAGGGCTTTTAGGTTTTATAGTTCAGTCTGCCTCCTGTTCTGTGTTGAGTGTGTGCGCGTGTGTGATTGTCTGTCTGTCTGTCTGTCTGTCTGTCTGTCTGTCTCTGTCTCTCTGTGTGCAGATGAAATGGGATTCTTTCTTTTCCTGATAGGGTGTGTGTGTGTGTGTGTGTGTGTGTGTGTGTGTGTCTGTTTGTCTGTCTGTCTGTCTCTGTCTCTCTGTGTGCAGATGAAATGGGATCCTTTCTCTTCCTGATAGGCCTTACAAACCTGTTGCCATGCCTCCCCAGGGCTCTATCCTCTCTGGAACTATGCGATAACATAAACTATTTCTTTCCTAATTGTTTTGTCTGAGTATTCCATCAAGCACCAGAAATTAGAGCACCTTGGAGAGTTTTCCATTCATTTTGTGTGTGTGTGTGTGCCTTTGAGATGTCAGTTAAGAAAAACTTCATGACAGTTTTTTTTTTCAACCCAGTGCTGGAGCTGTTTGGGTTGATCTGTGAGTCATACCTTTGAAATGTAATCATCAAGGAAGACAGTGGCCTTGTCTTCAGTTCTGTGAGGTCACAACACCTAACTTTCCTACCAGGCCCTTTAGTCCAGGTAACAAAATCACCTCCTGTCATGCCATTAAGAGAAAACTTCCTGTTCCTTTGGGTTAAGCCAATTAGCAAGCACTTATGGCCTAGAGTCTCTGTTTCACTGCAGCTGTTAACCCTTCCAGCCTTTTGTTTCCAAAGAGCTCCCTGACTCTGTCCTTCCCCACTTAAGGAGAGAGCTTGTTTTTGTTCTGACACACAGACACACGGATATATAAAGTATAGAACTTGGTATGTTTGGAGATGAATGAACATGGCTGAAGCCACAGTCATGCCACAGGTTCTCCATCACCTCATGAATGGTTGCTCTTTTGTTGTTGCTGCTGAGGTTTCTTTTGCATGGTTAGATCTAGTCCCTTAGCAAATTTTCAAGTATATAATACAGTATGCTTGATCAAAGGCACTCTGATGTACAGTGCCTTCCAGTATTTGTTTTCTGGGACTTTAACTTTGCCCCCTGTGACCAGCATCTCCCCCATGTTAGCCTCTGGCCATTACCACTCTCTGCTTTGCCTTTGCTTGCAAGTAAATTCATGTAGTCTCTCTCTCTCTCTCTCTCTCTCTCTCTCTCTCTCTCTCTCTCTCCAGCTGTTTAACCAATATTGTTTTTCTACTTTCAGTTATACTTCTAGTCTAGCAGGTGCATTTTTCCCTCCACCCCTACCTCCCCTCTTCTATCTACCACTTCTTTGTTAATATTTTCAGTGCTTGGAATTTAAATCAGGGGTTAATGCATGCAAAGCAAGGGACCTGCTGTTGGGGTGGGTTTTCAGCCACTATTTTCTCTCTATCAAATAGGTTAAGCTGATCATTGATAGAGTTATAAAGATACAGGCCGTGCTCCTTGGAATTGGACTCCAGAACCGTTGTTCATGCTGTGTAAGTTCAGCCATGTTCCTTTACTCTCAAAGCCTTGAGTTCCTCATCCACAAAGTTGTTAGCACCTGCTTTCTAGTTGGGAAGGATTCAGTGATCAAATACACAGAGATGGATTTAGAACAGGGCCAGACACAAAGAAAACATTGTGCAGATGCTGATGAAGTAAAATATTTTGGGGGTATTGTTACTGATCTTGTCATGGGAACAAAATATCAGGCAGAAGGAACTTGGAAGAAAAATCTGTATATTTCATCTCACAGCTGCATGGCGTGGAAATTGTTGGTGTCTGGGAATGGCTTGGTGACGGGTGCTTGTGGGATCACCCATTATATATCAAGAGGATCGGATGCAGACACTTGAGCCACAACCTGAGTGCTATAAACCTCCAGCCTCACTCTTAGGACACTACATCTGCCAGAAGAGGCCCTTTGCTGGAAAAATTCCACAACCTCCCAAAACAGCGCCACCACCTGGGGATCAGGTATTCAAACACATGAGCCTGGGGGAGGTTTTTCACATGCAAATTGTACTGTTTCCTTTTAAGTATTTTGAACAACTCTTTTGTATGCTGATTAGATCATTTAATCAACTCCAGTTGAAATCTGGAATTCTACAGATTTAATTTTTCTTTACACTAATGCCATCCTGCTCTCCTTTGTATCTTGGAACTCTGTAGCTTTCCTCATTTGCCTTGGATCTACTGGATTCTCTGAGTATATATTCCTTGATTCAATTTAAGTCAATGTTCTTATTTAGGGACTCCATGCCAATTTGAGGAGAGATGCAGTTAAGAATTCTCACAAGGTAGTATTGTCCAAATTCAAGATGCTGAAACACACAAGTTTATCCCCTTTTTTAGCTAGATTTGTTCATTCTATCTTACTCTACTGAAAATGCAGCCTGTGAGAATCCCATCTACATGAAGGAGTAACAGAACCCTGGCTCCCAAGATGTGCTGGGACCAAGACACCATCTTTTCCTCCTGTTAGGAACATCAGAACCCAAACTCTAAATTTTCTGAATCTGCAAGTGTCTAGAAGAGTCGTACATGATGTTATCACTTCAAGTAGGTCCGGGGTCCCACGGCAATGCAGATGGTGTCAGCAATCAGAGCAAATGCTCACTCACCCCAGGTGTTAGCATTTCCCGGGTTGGCTGCACATATGCCATCAGCATTCAGGCAAAATGCCTAGTCATCCCAGGGCCTTATGCAATCTATGTGCATGTGCAGATTGACCATGTAATCTATACACATTCCTGGAGTGGCTATGTAAGCTCCCAAACATCTACTGAGGGACCTTACAAGCGGACACGCCCACCCCCACTCCTTCTCTGTGCCAGGTTTCATCCAGACAGGCCTGCGTACTCCTCTTCTTTCCTTTCCCTGATCTTTACTAATAAAACTCTTCAAGCGGGTTTTGTTGTATATCTTGTGGTCCCTCCTCACGCACGGTAAATAACACATGATTTCAAGACTGGTTTATCTTTCTTGTCTCTGATCTTTATTATGGGAATACTTATTTTCATGTAACCTGATAATGAGAAGTAAAAGTTGTCATATCTGAATCGCTAGTTCATTGAGAGTTGAAATCATTCGCACTTGATTTTTGTGTGTGCATGTACACACATACACTTTTCACTGTATTTTTCCTAGTTACATTTGCAATATTTAGTAGCTCCTCATTTTTTAATGACTTGGCCAAACTTAAACATGTCATTGGAATCACTCCATAAATTGTATAAAAATGGTATCCTTTGTAAGCCAGCAATTTTAAAAGTGTAGGCCACAAGTCTCTGGAGTTCCCTATCCAAAGTGTCTGTGAGGTCAAAAGACATTTATTTTAAAATAATACTTTTCTTCTTTTCTTTCCTTCCCTCCCTCCTTTCTTTCTTTGTTTCTCTCTCTCTACTTTATTGAGACCCACACTGATGATACCAAGGCCAAAGCTCCTGGATCCTTTCTTTACACAGGATGAGGCTGCAGCCCTCACTTTCTACATGAAAGATGCCCACTCTCATCAGACACCCATTTTTTGGAATGAGGATGGTGAAGCATCACAAATCATTCCATTTTTAGGACACTGACCTCCAAGTCCTTACCTTTTAAATATTCTGTATGATGAAGAGGAAGCAGGTTTAGAATGTTTGCTGTGTTATGGTGGCTGTCTGGGAGAAAAAAAAGTGTGTGACTGAGCTATTTGAATAGAGCCAGTACTGTTTTAAGAACACTGAGTTTTTACAATGAAAAATGATGAGCTGTGGCTATTCAAAGTTGGGTATTCAGCAGACATTATCTCAATTTTGAACAAAGTGAGCCTGTCAGTTTGGGGAATAATCCTGACAGTAAATTTTGCCAGATTATAAATGAGCTTTCAAGTGAAAATGAGAATTTTATAAATTTGTATAAATTCCCAAATGCTTAGGAACTTTTTTTGAAGAGGTCACTGGTGATATTAATTAGTGCAGTTTTCAAAATATTGAACCAATATATTCTGAATGGAATATTCATATTATAATTCACAGACACACAGCTTTCTTCTTTTTCAAGACTGTATGGCTTATTTGTGGTCTCTTGAGTTTTTATGACCTTGGAGATGAAATTACATCTCTTCAAAAATGTTACTGAGATTCTAACAGGAAATGCATTGAGTGGTAGATCATGTTGAGTCATGTTGCCTTCTTATTATATATCTTTATACTTACATGTCTTTAATTATTTTTCAGCAGTTTTGGCTTTCAGGACATAACAGCTTTGTGCTTTGGTTAAGATTGTTCATAGTATTTCACTGTTTTTGATGCTTCCAGGGAGTGAAATAACGTTTGCAAGCAACAGCTTTTGAGTACAAGCATTGTTTTGGTGATTTGACTAGGATTTGCCATATGGATTGCATTTTTATTTAAATTAAGGAGGACACCCCTGCATTGTCATGCACTCTGTAAGAAGTTTTTTTTACAGGGTGCCATTTTTATCCCACTTTAGATGTCATACTTATCATCAGGCAGGTTTCATCTCAAACATACCCTTGATGTAGTAGTTCAGAGGAGAATGAATGGATGCATGTCTGGAAAGATTGTTAACAGCAGAAGGAGGGGCCTCTGAACAAGTAGCTAAAGGTATGGAGCCACTCCAAGTGTCTGGAGAACTTCGAAAGCTTGAAGTTGAGAGGAGGGTGTCCTGAAAGGAGACAAAAAGGAAGTGACTTCCCCTGTTCCACATCCTCACCTCACCAGCATTTGTTGTCAGTTGTTTTCTTTACCTTCAGCTGCTTAACTGTGTTCACAGTAGTGTTATTCATAATAGCCAGAACCTGGAAACAATCTAGATGTCCCTCAACCAAAGAATGGATAAAGAGAATGTGGTACATTTATACAGTGTGGTATGACCCAGCTGTAAAAAAAGAAAAAGAAAAAGAAAAAGGAAAAAAAGCCTTGAGATTTGCAGGCAGATGGATGGAACTAGAAAAAAATCATTGTAAGGGAGGTATTCCAGACCCAGAAAGACAAACATGGCATGTACTAACTCATAAATGGATATTAGATGTAAAGTAAAAGATAACCAGGTTACAATCCACAGCCCCAGAGAGGCTAGGTAACAAGGAAGACCCAAAGAGGACACATGGATTTCCCTGGGAAGGAGAAATAGAAAAGATCTTCTGGGTAAACTGGGGGTAAGTAGAGGATATGAGAGATTGGGTTGGACTGGTTGGGGTCAGAACAGAGGGGGAGAGTAATGAAAGGGATGTCTTGATTGGGTAGGAGCATTTAGGGGCTAGGGAGAAACCTGGTTCCAGGGAGACAACCAAGAATCCACAAGGATGACCCCAGATAAGACTCCTAGTAATAGTGGAGAGGGTGTCTGAACTAACAATCTCCTGTAATGAGATTGGTGACTACCCTAATTGTCATCAGAAAGCCTTCATCCAGTAACTGATAGGAATAAATGCAGAGATCCTCAGCCAAGCAGTGGGCAGAGCTTCAAGAGTCCAGTTGAAGAGGGATAAAGGATTTGTAAGAGCTTGGGTGATACCATGGGAATGTCATCATGAGGAAACCCACAGAAACAACTAACCTGGGCTGTTAGGAGCTCTGACTCTGGACCAACAGCCAGGGAACCTGCATGGGACCGACATAGCCCCTCTACATATGTGTGACAGTTGTGTAGCCTGGTCCATTTGTGGGACTCCTAGGAGTGGGATCAGGGCCTGTACCTAATGTTTGCCCAGGATTTTGGAAACCTAATCCTCATATAGGATTAATACAAAAGGAAGAGTTTAGTTCTACCTCAACTTGATATGCCTGCTTTGTTGACACCCATGGGAGATCTGCTCTTTCTGAAAAGAAACAGAAGAGAAGTGAATGGGGGGGGGGGGCAGAGGGGAGGCGGGGCGTGGGGGGGGGCTGGAAGAGAGGAGGGAGGGGAATCTGCTGTAGGGTGTAAAATAAATGGGAAAAAAACAAGCTGGATCAAATTTTGTCTTACAATTTAGGTATTGGAAGTCCATAAAGTCCTTAGTGACAGTTCATCCACTTGCCTGGCTAAGGCTCCACTTCTAGACATCTACTACTAAGACTGAGCAAATGAGTGAACACAATGAGGTCTATAATCTGCTTATATGCTGAAGATAGTGCCTGGCACATACTGCTCATTATGCATCTCCAAATTCGGTGCATGTTTTTGAACAGAAAAATTCCACAGTAACGCTAATATTTTAGGAAGGCGTTCTGTCTGATCCTTATGGTGAATTTTGCAAAGGAGACAGAGAGGAAAACTGGAAAAATTCACAGAGAAACAAAGTGATTAGATCTATGTCAGTGTTGTGGCTCTGGAAACAGAAGCCAATGGTCCAGGATGTGCTGTATTTCACACACAGTAAAAGGATATATACCGAGGGACATCGGGTGGCGGGATAGCCCGTGGCTGATGCCATCTGTACGCTGAGCTTGGAAAGGAGACCAACATTCCAACATTCACATGGATTTTGCTGAATGTGAAACAACCAACCTTATTATCTCTCAGGGAAAATGTGATCAGAAGTGAAGCAAATAGCGTAAAATGAAAACGGCTGCACCGCTTAGTGAAGAGACTGGAGAAGAACTGGGAGTTCTGAAAGGTAAGATGCCTCTCCTGGAAACCCGTGCTTCTCAAGGCAGTGTGTTTTTCAGACATGAAGCTGAACCAACCATCTGTCTTCTGACCTCCTCGCAAGTCCTCCAGCTCTGCTGCCTGGGTCCAGTGCTTTTCCTACAACTATCCATCTGCACTTACTGTGTAATGTGAAGACTTGTATTTTCACATTGCTGTAACAAGGCTAAATCATTTCAGAAAATAGGTTTTCTCAAGAAATTCAGAGCTCTGTATTAATCTTTTGTAGACCAAATACAAAATAAAGTCACATTTTTTTTCAAAAAAGAAAAAGAGAGAGAAATGTGCAAAATTATTCAAGGTGACAGAAGCACCTTCAACTCTCATATGCTAACAATGCAAATTCTTTATGGAGTGACCTTGGATCACAACAGTGAAAACAATCTGTTGTAACACATTTAGGCTACTGTAAGACTGCCATGAAAAAGCCAGGGAAAAAAGAACCTTTATTAAACTCTCACAATCTACAATTTTAAAAATTGAATAATACATGAGAGAATATTATTCTCTTTTTGGAGAATGTTTCCAACAGTGAAATAAAAAATATCTTTATTCTACTAAAGATTGATCAAACAAGATTTAAAAATATTAACTTGAAATGTTTGTTTTATCTATATTTTGAAATAAAATATTATTTGGGGCTACATGACTAAGGTAAATAAAATAAATTAATTTTAATTAATCAGTGTAACACATTAACAGCTTAAAATGTTTAATCTAGGACTGCCCAAACATACAAATACTGGCAGCATGATAGCATGGTACAATCATGAGAGCACATCACAAACATCACCCAGAACATGTTAGTATGTAGTACTCAACACACTTTATAATATAGGAAAATGTTTTAACTATTGCATAAAATGGCTAACCCCTTTTATCTAAATAATTTTTCCATATAAACTGGTTTCTGTAGTCAGACTTCCTTCTAAGGACTGCTGTCCCCTAAATAATGACATGGAAACTTATTATTAATTATAAAGCTTGGCCTTTAGTTTAGGCTTGTTCCCAACTAGCTCTTATAACTTCAATTAACCTGTTTCTATTAATCTGTGTTCTACCAAGTGTTTTTTTTAACCTCTCTTCCATTCTGCATGTGCAGCTCTCTCTAGGTCTCACCGGCATCTTTCATGCTCCTCCATTCTTCCCAAGTTACTCTTTCCCTGGAAGTCCTGCCTATTCTCTCCTGAAGAGCTATCGACCTTCACTTCTTTATTAAACCAATAAGAATAAAACAGTGACACATTTTCACACAGGTTTCTTACCAGTTCCGAGCAATTATAACTTTACATTGGTTTCAGCAAACTGGTGAACCCGACTTAGCACAGCATAGTTCATTCTGCTATCTTACAGCCATACTAAAATAATAGCATTATGTTTCTTCGTGTGGCATCCTATTTCTACTGGAAAAAATAACTAAGTGGGACCTTCTGGTTTGTCAGCAAGACCTAGTTCAAACGTCGATTTTATGCTATTATCATGCAATTTATAACTATATTTCTGCATTTGCCACATACCACACATTAATCAGTGATGAACAGAAAATTTTGACTTCAGTTGCTTAGAATCATTTTAATGTTATTTTATCTCATCTAATTCTTTTCACCATATTAATGAAGAAAACTCTATTTACATACTATACAATTGCTCTCAAGACATGCTAAAATCTAACCTGAATGTCCTAAGAATGTTGATGAAAGACAAGTAAATGTTCTCTTTAAGAGTTTAAAGTACAGTTATTAAAAAAAATAAAACACAGAAAGAAGGAATAAAGAAAAGAGATAGCTCTCGTGTGAAACCTAAGTTGTAGGTGAACAGCATGAAGGTCACTCCATATTTTACAAAACCAGGATTCTAGCTGAGGTCCCTCTAGCTTCAGAATCCCTCCCTGCTCTTTTCTGTGGACTCCAGGAGCACACATGAGTAGTTGTCTGGTTGGAGGGAAATGTACACTACAGAACAAGGTCTTAATGACAACCGGAGAAGACTAGCTGGGCTGGGGGATGTGTAGCATGTCAAGGAGATGCTTCTCTGTGTTTTACCAAAAAAGAACATTAATAAGAGAAGAGCACAGTTTATTCATATTTCAGCATTTGTGCTTTGGCATAAAGCTATTATGATCATATATTAATAACTAATAGCCTAACTTCTAAGAAGATCACTATGATGTCAGAAAAATATTTTACAGTGTATGTATCTATCATATTTTTGGATATTCTTCCAAAGAATGAATATGAAAAATTCTCAGAAAAAACATAGTAAGCAAATGTTTTTTTCCCAAAATGATAGGTTTTACATAATTTATGAAAGTGATATTGCATGTATGCACAGTTCTCTGAGTAGTGATGTGTTGGTTGGTGTTGTTAACTTGGTGGAATCTAGAATCACAAGATTCTAGACAGAGGGAGAGGGCTAGGAAACCCACTAATCTTTGAAACCTCAAGCCCACCACAGTGACATACCTCCTCCTACAGGGCCACACTTCCTAGTCTTCCCAAAAAGTTCTATCAACTGGAGACCAAGTATTCAAATATACTGGCCTAGGGGAGACTTTCTCAATCAATACCACACAACCCATTTGCTTGGCTACTTGGGTTTAAGGATGGTTTAACTAAACTGTTTACAGAAACTAATAAGATGCAAAATGCTGGGAAGAGAGTGAAAACAGTGTAGTAATTACTTCACACACACACACACACACACACACAACCTACAGTCTGTCTTCCAGGTTCCTCACATGGTTATGCTGGAGTCTTTTCTTTGTTTGGCATCAGCTGTTCTCTCTTTGGAGTGGCTCTCCTTTGTAAATGCCCTGCTACCCGGCTGGAATTGCATTCTCCTTTCCTCTTGTCCATTTGCCTTTCTCAACAGTTCCTTTATTAAATGGTGATTAGACATCCCATCTGTTTTCTTCAGGGACCCTGTCTGATACACATGGTTACTTAAATGAAGAAAACATGCACGACAAGTAGAAAAGATAAACAGGTTGGGACTGGGGAAATCATGGCTTGACGGGAAGGCAAACTGCACTGCAACTGTTTCCCATGGATCTCTTCAGTAACACAGTAGAGACCAGCTGAGGACACTAGAGGCTCTCGGTAACGCTAGAGGCACTAGTGTCATAAAAGGGACCAGCAGTAGCTAGTTCCAATCTTGCTGCAGGTTTCTCCTCCACACTCCTTAAACCTGCTTGCGAGCCTATCAGCATCAGAAATCACATAGTTTCCTTGGCTTTTTATTATTCCAGGGCTTTGTAAGTAGCTTCATCCCATGTCTGATCTTGAAAAGAAAAAAAAATGTCCCTGAATTGTTTTTTAGGGACCCCTGACCCTGGGTCAGTGGCTCAATGGTAGAATCTTTGTAGCTATACTTTGTATATGGGCTTAATTCCCTGAGCTATTAATTCAATGTCATACTTACATAATTAGTTTTCAGGCAAGCACTAGAGGCTTAGAATGAAGAAGATCTTAGTTCTGAAAACTCTCAGTCATTAAACATGAATATGGAAAAAAGAACTTGTTAATGGAAGATATTTGCATTCCCTGTACATTTCTCCTTAAGCTTGCATGTATTAAGGGTTATGGTAAAATGTCTAAATCACCATTGTATTTTTTCTATTACAGAGAAATAAAAGGATATTCCTTAAAGTTCAATTTTATTATGTTTAAATTTCTTATTATGGGATATTACTTTACACACAGGGTAGCTAACCTCCTGGAAATACTTCCATTGGGTACTAATAACAAATATAAGGAATCAAATTTTGCAGCTAGACATTTGTGCTATCACTTTCAGATTGATACTAAGAAATTAATCATGTAGTATATATGAAAGAATTTGGCTAGGCAGTGATGTATTATTGAACATAGGAACTGTGAAGATTTTTATTCGAAAGGAAAATTGTAAAAAATCTCATGTAGAGCCTAGATCACTAATCTTTTATTTCATTTCCCACCCCCAATAAATACAATACTACCCTGCTTTAAGTCTCCATTGAAGGAAATAATAAACTCATGAATACAATGGCAAGGGAATTTAATCTCTTCTTTCTATGTACCTTGTTCCTATAGCTATTTTACTTGCTGTTTAAATGCTACCTGTGTGAAGATAACTAACATGTTTCCATCTCCAGTCCAGGCTGTCCTGTGGAGCTCTTCATTTACATCCATATTCCCCTTTTAGATATTAAATGTAGTCCTCAGAGCTGGGCCCCCGATCTGTTTGTTACCCAGAACTAGAAGGCATGCAACCCTTGGCAGCCCACCTATTAGCGCTCTGCCTGCCCAGCAGGCCAATCCCGTCTCCATCCTTACTGTCTTCCTCTCACGTTCCGTGTCCAAATTGTCGGGCGATCTTATTGTGGTTACTTCAGAATCCAAGTATCTTTTTCCATCTCTCCCGCTTTTCCTCTGGCCTAAGCCGCCGTCACTTGTCTCCCAAACTGACAGTAGCCTCTTACCTGTTTTGACATCTGCTCTCTCTGGGTTGCTCTTGTTTCCCCTCTGCTGATTCTTACTACAAGAGTGAGAGCAATCGTCAGAAAAGTGAGGCAGATTATGCCACTTTTCTGCCCAGAGTAAAAGCCACATTCTCTGACACTTGTGTGATCCGACTGCTTCTCTGAGCTCCTCTCCTGCTGCTCTACCCGGCACTGACCGATTAGACTACATCAAATGTTCCCCTGCTGCTGCTGCTGCTGCTACCTCTGTCTTCCAGTCATCCACTCTCCTCCCCTACAACAGTTTTCTTTACTCTAGAATACCCACTGCCTTTTTTTCTTTCCTTAGAACAAACAAAGATTTATTAAGCAAAAGGAAAACAGAACTCCTGAGATTGGGAGGAACCCCAATGCAAAAGACACCCCTACCATCGTTTAGCACCCATGGGAGCTTTTACTTACTATGCTTGTTTTATGGTAACTTTTCAACTATTAAAATGAATCCTTAAACATCCCAGGTTTTGCTTGCAAATCTTTGCCTTATGCCTAAACTAGTATCCAGGTCATAGAGGCCAGTTTGTGTTCCACAAATGGCTCAAAGGGTTCTAAACTATCACTGTTGTAAAATTGTTCAGGCTAGGCAGGGAAGCAGTTTTGTTCTCAGCGTCTCTACCGCTAAATTTACGTGGAGATGAGTAGTGATGTTTTCCTGAAAACAGAAAGGATTGTCATGAACACCCAGAGTTGATACTCCTGAAAGAAGTGTTTCCTGGGACAAGGGATTTAATTTGCCTCACAGTCTGAGGGTACAGTCCCTGTTTTAGTTACTATTCTATGACCAAAGAAAGTTGCAGAAGGAAGAGTTTATTGGGACTTACAGCTTCTGAGGGTGAGTCCATGGCCATCATGGAAGGGGACATGGCAGAAGACAGACAGTCATGGTGCTGGAAAAACAGCTAAGAGCTTAGCATCCTTAAGACAATGACCACAAGTGGGGAGAGAGCTAACTGGGAATTGT